CCACAAGGGTCCCACCAGGTGTGCCAAATTTGTTTTCCAACTATAAAACTTGAGTAACGAATTGAATGCACCTTAACTTCTTTGGACAACGATCACTAAACACGGTTCACACCTCTTCAAACACAGTTCAAACGAGGGTGTTCGATGTTTACACGATTCTCGAGATAGTTCTCTACATTAAGTTACCCTACTCCTATGGAGGTTCTGTGAGAGCTCCAGATCTACGACTACTGATAAAAATTGCAGAGGAAAGATAAAATTGATAAAACTTGACAAGTGGTGTCGAGTGGTGATTTTTGCGAACCCCTCCTCTGTCAACTCCTCCTCCTATTTATAGGCTTGAGATGATAACCGCCGTAGAAAACTGTCTTGGAGTAACTTCCAAAAAGAATTGCTCCCCTTCTTTCTCGGACGTGGCTGACGTGTCATTGTACTTGGGATGATCGGCAGTTGCTCTGTTAACCATCTGCTCTTCATCTTGGAACTTTCGCCTTGTTACTTGCCTCTCCCACATGGCCTGCCTTCTTGCTTCCAACTTGTTAGTTCAGAATCTTGGACATGGTCTAGTCTCACGATGTGGTCTAGTTCTCACTACCTCATCGAGCTCTAGATTTTACGCCAACGAGGTTTAGATCTCACGACCACGTCGGGCTCTAAATTTGATGCCAACGCGGTCTAGATCTCGCGACCACGTCGGGCTCTAAATTTGATGCCAACGCGTTCTAGATCTCGCGACCAAGTCGGGCTCTAAATTTGATGCCAACGCGGTCTAGATCTCGCAACCACGTCGGGCTCTAATTTTGATGCCAACGCGGTATAGATCTCATGACCACGTCGGGTTCTAATTTTTATGCCAACGCGGTCTAGATTTCGCGACCACGTCGGGCTCTAATTTTGATGCCAACGCGGTCTAGATCTCACGACCACGTCGGGCTCTATAACTCGCGACGAGACTAGCTCCTTCTTGGAGACTTAGTAGTTTGGGCCTTTAAACTATTATCATGAGGCCCAGTTCAAATAACATTAATTGTCATTAATGATCTGGTCTTACAAAGATAATAAATGCCTTGTAAATAATCAATGCGGTACATGATTATTTTTTAGGTGTAAACACTTACGATCCAGTCTGATTGTATCAATGCCCATCCTAAATAAAACGGTACTTAAGATAGGGGGATATGTCAAATAGGGATGACAATTTTACCCATACCCATGGTTATTTTACTATCCAACCCAATTGGGTTGGGTATGAAATCCAAATAGATGGTAGATAGATAGAGTTTGATGGGTTTGTACCCATACCCATTTACTTGGGTTAAGTTGGGTTTTTAACACATGGATTTGGGCTTGTATTAATGCTCAAATGCAAATTACAGTTTGGTACCTAAATGTAATATATATGCATATTTAGTACCTAAATTTAATTTTTTACATATAAGTACTCAAAATATCAATGGAAAATCTTATTTTAGTACCTAAATTTTTTTATCTTACATTTTGGTACCCAAACTTTTCAAGTTTTTACAAATATGTCCATTTTTTATATTTGTAGTTAAAACATCCTCAAATAAATGGATATCCATATCCTACTCATACTCATTTAGATTATGAAAGCAATATCCATATCCCAACACAAACCCATCTACAAACCTCAAACTCATATATACCTCGTCCATACTCTACCCGTTATCAATGGGTCTACTTGGGTTTGGGTATGATTACCCATGGTGGGTAATACACAATAGTCAATACTCAATAACCTAGCAATCAGAAAGGGTAAATACCACATTTGGTCAATGAGATTACTAAATCATGTCATGTTTAGTCACTAGAAAAAATGAATATCAATTTTGGTCACTCGAATTACTGAAACCTATCACATTTAGTCACTCTCCCGTTAGTTTCCGTCCAACTCCGTTAACGGAGTTGGATGGAGGCTAACCGAGATTGACTAAATGTGGCATGTTTCAGTAATTCGAGTGACATTCATTAAGAAAAAAAGTAATTCAAGTGACCGGAGTTGGACGGAGGCTAACGGGAAAGTGACTAAATGTGACATGTTTTAGTAATTCAAGTGACCAAAATTTATATTAATTTTTTCTAGTTGCTAAGCATAACACGATTTAGTAATCTCAATGACCAAATGTGACATTTACCCCTATCAGAAACGTAGTTGATTTCCTTTTCTACATAAATAGCCTAGTGTCACACTAGTATTGAAGGAACCGTGGCAAACTTCGGAAATGGATGAATGAGTTGTGCACTAATACTAAATAAGGTGTAGTATAGTACATAGGTAGGTTAGTTCGGTTGGAAAATAAGCTTCCTCGTCGAGGGGCTAAGATCATGTGAGTTGTGACTAGGGGGTCCCTTTAGTCATATGACTGAGTGCATCTCAGCCATCCAACCTTATTTAAATCTAATGGCTCTAAATAATCTAATTTAATGAAGGATAAAGTTGTAATTTCATATTTTATTTATTTAACAATTTACAATTTAAAAACAAGCATGCCTCCCTCCCGCGTTCCTCCGTCGAGTCGGTCACCAATTCCTCCTGCGTACCTCCATCGGGCGCCGGCCAGGATGTTTGGCTGGCATCGCATATTCCTCCGTGAGAGAGAGAGAGAGAGAGAGAGAGAGAGAGAGAGAGGTAGGTTATGGTTATGGTTATGGTTATGTTTTTTCAACGACGTTTTTCCGGCAACGTTTTTCCGGCGACCTGCGGTGGATAAGAATTTTCCGACGATAGTGTTAGATTTGTGATGTTTGTCAACCTGCTTTGTAATGTTTATAAGTCTGATTTGTAATGTTTATATCATTTTCGGTTTATATTGTTTTTCATTTTTATCTATCATGTTAGTAATGTTTATATGACTAATTTGTATACATTGTAATTTTTAATGTTTGTTTGTCTATTTTGTATACTTTGTATTTATTGGTTTGTAATTTCAGTTTATCGATTTGTATTATAAGTAGTGGTGTTTTGTATTGTTAGTATAATTGTACTGTTTGTCGGTTTATTTTGTAACGTTTGTAAGCTTTGTTATGTTTGTAATGTTTGTTGGTTTCTTTTGTAATGTTTGTTCACCATGTTTGTCATTTTTGTTAGTCATGTTTGTAACATTCGTATACTTCTGATTTGTATGTTTTGTATAATTGGTTTGTATTGTAAGTAGTTGTATTTTGTACGTTTAGTATGTTTTGTATAAAATGTTAGTATTATTTTTATACTTTTATGATGTGATCACTGATTTTTTTACTTTGTAATAAAAATTTGTATACTTTTATGTTGTGGTTTGTATACTTTGTAATATTTAGTAGTGATATTTTCTGTTTTTAGTCATCTTTGTATATAATGTTATCTTGATTTGTATACTGATACCATGTGGTTCTAATACTTTTTAATATTGCTCTGTATATTTTTTAATTCTGTGATTTTTATTTTTAAAATAGAAAAAAGCTGATAAAAAAGAAGAAACCAAGAAAACACACGTGAGTAGGGATGACAATTTGAACCTGCCCCGCGGGTATTACCCGACCCACATTAGCATGGGGCGGGGCATGGGTATCTACTTTCGACCCGTCCTGCCCCGCCCTGCCCCGTTCTTGGCCTATTCTAACTCAATTTCTTACAATATCTATACATAATTCTTCTATTTTGACTTTTTTTTCAACTAGTTAGAGTCGATTTTTCAACTGTTTAGACTCAATTACCAATTCTATTATCACTATTTTTAATTCATAAAGTGTTTTCCACTTTGCTTTATCGTAAAAAGTAAAATTTGTGTGTGTTTTTATGAAATAACATGCGAGAATGGGTCGACCCGCCCCGCCTCGTACCCCGCGGGTTTTACTCGTCCCGACCCGTAGTAGCGTGGGGAGGGACATGGGTATTAAGGTACCTGCCCCGACCCATTGCCATCACTACACGTGAGTGGGACTGTGGGAGTCACTTTTTTATTTAAATTAAATGTGAAAAGGGCAGTACGGTAAATTAGCACTTACTCCTATTTATTGTTGATGCTCACTTTTGACCGGAGCATATCAGCGCCTCCTTCTCTCTCCTCGCAAAACATTTAATTTTCCTTTCCTTAATCTTTAACGGACGATTTCTCACTCGTTTTAAGTCGAAATTTAATTTTTTTTGCACAGTTAGATCAGATTAATTGTGCTCTTCAAAATGATATCCACTTTGATATTTTTTGGACACAAAAAAATTTGTCAGTTATTACCAGTCTATACCATATGGTATTGGCTGTACCATATGGTATTGACTGGTATTAAACAAGAGCATACCATATGGTATGATAATATTTGCCACATGAATATATATTTCGTTACCACCCAATACCATATGGTATAGTGTGGTAATATCAATATATATTTCGTTACCACCCAATATCATATGGTATAGTGTGGTAATATCACACAATTCACACAATACCATCTGGTATAGAGTGGTAATATCAATATATATTTCGTTACCACCCAATACCATATGGTATAGTGTGGTAATATCAATATATATTTCGTTACCACACAATACCATATGGTATAGAGTGGTAATATCAATATATATTTCGTTACCACACAATACCATATGGTATAGTGTGGTAATATCACACAATACAATATGGTATAGAGTGGTAATATCAATATATATTTCGTTACCACGCAATACCATAAATTACCATAGGGTATAGTGTGGTAATATCAATATATATTTCGTTACCACCCAATACCATATGGTATAGAGTCATAATATCAATATATATTATCTAAAAGGAAAAAAAACAGAAGGAGGGAGAGAAAAAAATCGTCTTCTGATGCCTCTCATTTCCTCTTCCTCAATCAATAACACCAAAATGCCAAAAAATGAGAAAGATCGGAATTGAGTCCAACGAGTTGATGAAGAGAAGAAATGGAATGAAAGAGAGTGGCTACAATTTTTATGCTAGAGAAAAAAAATGAAGAAGGAAGAGAGCAGATTTAGATTTGAAAAGGAGATTGTGAGAGAAAAAGTAAGAGAGAAGGAATAGAGAAAGAGAAAGGATCTGGAAAGATATTGAAAAAATGAAGAGAGAAGGAAGAAAGTTGAGTTGCAGAGAAAAGGAAAAGACCATTCTCTCTCTTTCATTGAAAAGACAGCCATTGAAATGCGGAATAAATAAAAAAATTAAAAATACAAAAACGGACAAAAATGCCCCTCTCCACCTAGCGTCCAGCCCATCCACACGATTTCTCCATCCCCAGATCTACGGCCCGCGTGTGGTTACTGATGACCCGATTCAAGGGCTAGGAGGGGCTTAGTCGCTTGACTAAAGACCCCCTAGTCACAGGATCCGCACTCCTCATCGAGCCCGTGTCTGAAGTTGGTATGAGATAGCTTGGTAGAGGGGTACCCACAAGGCCACAACTCCCTTCTTATAAAGTGATCCCCTCCCATAATGTTGTAAAACTAGTTTTGCACCCTGATCATTGGATCACGACACAGTCTTATCGCGCCAATGATCAATGGACCACAGAACATGCAATTAAACGATCGTTAATCACGTTAAGATGTCTTAATCCCAATGCCTGCTAGGAGTGATTGTTATGCAATGCTGTCTGTCAGTATTAGTTTCCTTACACCACTCTAGTCGATGGGAGCCCACAAACAATACAGCCAGCCTATGTCCATGCAACCACAGTGCAGAGAACAAACCCTTAATCACCAAAGCTAACTTGCATTCGGCCCCTGACTCACGCTGCGACAAACGTTCTACGGTGAAACCCAAGTCAAATTTGGAACCAGGTATCTTGTCGCTCAAGCATCGCCTTTGAACTAACAAATTTCTACCATATCATCATCATTTACCACGCTATCCTATAAAACTACATCTACCCTTCTCGATGTACACTAGGCCCCCACAATTAGCAATATGTACAATGTGCTTACCGCGGGCTCTGCTTCCCAGTCTGCACTTTGATGAGACCAAAAATTGCCTTTCCAACTGTGCAATGCCATAAAATGTTTCTAACACTGACTCGACCAACGCATCTTCGTTAAGTAGCAGCTCAAATAACCCAAACTTGTCAGCGGACAGCATCCCGGTCCATAAATAGAAACCTCAGATCTTCCACAGTAAGTTTTGTAGCTGTTCCCCCACCTTGGTCCTCCCCAAAAGCGGATGAAACCATTTTCCGCTTCTCATCCTGCAGATCATTGGCCAAACAAAATCAGAGACGAAATCATGCTCATATAAACCATTTTACACTAAACTGCTACTTAAGCTAGAATAACAAGGGGAAAGACAGCAACTTGACATCAGATGCTAATTGGAATAAATTAGCACCTGCAATTTCAGTATCCTATCCTCCACTGTGTCTTCAATGGTAAGCCGGGTCACAGTAACCGGTCGAGTCTGACCAATTCTATGAGCTCTGTCAATTGCCTGATCTTCCGTGCTCGGATTCCACCAAAGGTCCAGAAGGATAACGTGAGATGCAGCAACCATATTTAAACCAAGATTCCCGGCCTTAAGCGACATTAGCATCACAGTTACCTGAATACAGCAAATTTCAGACTCAATTGGCGAAAGTTGGATTTATACAAACAGATAGATCATCATCTCAAGCAGGATTTTCTTCTTCAAGCCTAAAGTTGGTAAACTAACCTCAGGATCAGTATTGAAATCTTTAACAGCCCGGTCTCTCACATTTAAACTCATTGTCCCATCAAGCCTCCTATACTTTAAGCGGGTCTGATTGAGTGACATCTCGACCAAGTCCAACATGCCTGTCCATTGTGAAAAAATTATTGTCTTTATAGGTCCCTTGGGAACCGAGCTCACAACTGAGCAATCCACATCATCTGGTTCATCCATTCCAGTATGTGACTGAAGAATGCGAAGGACGTCTTTGATTTTTGAAGAGCTATACTCATTCTCTGTGATCTGATGATTGAGCTTCGAACGAGAAGAACCAGTATCATTATTATTAGATTTGCAACTTCTAAGAGTAGCTTCCGAGAACACAACATCAGAACTAAGCTGCTCTTTGCAGTTAAGACCAGGACAGGTGTTATCATCCCCGGTCAGGTAATTTGATACACACTCATAGCAGAAAACATGACCACACCTTGTAACAACAGGATCTTCAGGTGGATCCTGTACAAAGTATAAATGTATATATCAATTAAAGGCACAACAATTCCCAACGTAGTGTCAGCATACAGAAAATGAGCATTGAAGATGTCAGAAACATATAGAAAAATCCAGTCTAGGACGCAGAAGTGTGCAGAACCTAGCTCAGAAGTGAGCAGCCAAATATGAAGAAGAACATGTACAGAATAAAAAGGATGGAACAATCAAGATTCATGAAAAGGAATTACATCACACAACAAAGAATTTAAACACCAAACTGAGAGAAGCTCGGATAACACTCACACTGCAGATACGGCAAATGGCTGTGTGAGAAGCCACCCGGTCCAATAGATCAAGCACCATTTTCATTGGAAGTCTCTTTGCCATATCTACTGAAACTTTCTGTACAGAGTCAGAATTGAAACCTTTGACAAGAAGCGGGTGGTCACAAGCCTGTCGAAGGCGTAAAAGCATCAAAAGAATATTTGCATAGTTTTGACTAACAGTGCCAGCAGCAGCATAAGCCTGCACAGAAAGATGAAAGCCACAAAATCACTCGGCAAAATATTAGAAATATATTTGAAGATTCAGAAAGGTTATATCTGGAATCCCCTAAGGGAATCAATGCAGTTAAATAATAAGTTTCCTCAGTGTTAACCGCCAATCAAGTGATAACAAGAAGTGGAAAACTGGCCTCATAACTCGTGCAGAATTGTGCATTAGATGGACAATCCTTTCTTTGTAATATAGGCCGAAAAACAAAAAACATGATAACTGTAGAAAACAAGGGATAGCAAAGAATGAATGAAAAAGTAAACGTAGCATAAGCAGGGCAAACTACTTTCAACACCTGGGAGGCTGGGACAATTAAAATTCACAGCTATTGAGATTGACGGTACAAGAAATAATAGCAAAACATAAAAAGGAAATTTCGAAACAATGAACTCCACCTTTCAGGTAAATGACCCACCAGCACCACTTGGAAAACCAAGTAGAGTAACGAAACTGGACAGCAATTAAGAAACAACATTTCAAAGTAGAAAAATAAAATATTACAAAGCACAAAGCTACTTGATCTCGTTAATTCAAAGTCATTTTTCGGTGTCCCTAAGGCAACACACTTGCTATCAGCCAACAGATGCGTACAGGGAAATGAATAAAGGACTATGCATGTCCTGCAAAGAGAGTAACTAAGATAGAAAATAACCTTGAACTTAGAACTTGAATCAGATTCTAGCTGGGTGTAGAAAGCTCGCTCCTCCGGTGAGAACTCCACCTTATTCAAACCGATTGATTTTGGAGGCAATTTGATGATAGGCTCCCCATTTATCATTGTCCCTAGAGTAAAATACTCAGTCAGCTAGTTCTACTTTGCCATGGAAATATGGATACCATAAACAGGATAGTCTGACAAAGAAAGAGCTACTCAAACAATAATGAAAATGAGGAGCAAAGCAAATACCTTTGGTACGCCTCAGCATTACAGCTGCTAAAACAGCTCGCAGTTTCTTGTAACCTTGAATTGAATTTCTTGATATTGGGAGCTTTATGGCACTGTAAAATGACTTATAAACTGAGTAGGGTTCATATCTGAGAAACCTGAAATAACTGTACAAATCATCAATCGCATTCTGGATAGGTGTTCCAGAAAGGCACCATCTCCTTTTGGCACGAAGGCTGCAGCAAGCTCTAGCCACTTGAGTTCGATGATTTTTTATTGTTTGGGCTTCATCTAAAATCACCCTACACCAACTCACCCTGGCAAGTGGACTGCAATCGTAATCGAAAGGGGAACTATCTGCTCCCTTCCTGCTCTTCTTTCTCTTCTTGTTAGTACCAAGCTGATTTTTCCTCTTCTTATCAACCGAAAATTCAGAAGATACACCACTTCTCTCTGCAGTTTTAACATCAAGCTCATCCTCATTAACCAAAGGTTGTTTTGGAACTTCATTCGTTACTATTGCATATGTAGTCATTACAACATCATACTTTGCCAATACTGCAGGATCCCTCGTTCTAGTGCCTCCATGATATATCAAGACAGTCAGTTTTGACTCATTTGCAACTTTTTCATCCAACTCCCTCGCCCACTGGCGGAGAACACTAGCTGGGCAGACAACCAATGTACCAGCAGCTGGTCTCTGTCTATTAAGTGCCTTTGAAGAAGTACCAACTTCTTCTGTTTTTCCTATACCGCTACTTTCAACAGTCTGCTTTCCTTTATCGGAAACTTGATTGCTGCTATCATCATCTTCATCCAAATTCAATGCTTCAGTCTTTTTATTACTCTGATCTTCGGACTTAGATTTCAACTCCAGAGCCTTCTGCATTTGTATAAGGGCAATCATTGATATGGTTTTGCCGAGACCCTGGAAAACGAAGTAGAATATAAGTCGAAGCAGAATAAATCAAGCTACTAGACAAAGCCCCAGTCAAAATCTATAGACATTCAAGAATATAACCTGATCATCAGCTAAAATTCCACCTAAACAATGTAAACTTCTTGTCTCCCTCTGAAGCATCCATGCCAATGCAATTCTCTGTTAAAAACAATGTTAGCAAAAAATTCAATCTAACCCTGTAAGCACACTTTATTGTCGTCAAACGGGAGGACCTGGTGTCTCAGAAGAGGCACAGACAATAAACCTTCAGGTAACTTGGCCTCAAATTTTGGTTGATTAAGACCCTGGGGAAAAAAACAAGCCCATTAAATCAAAATTCTTTAAAGAACTTAGACATTTCTTTATTCTCATAGATGGATATGGTAAAAAAAACAACTAGCCTTGAGCAGTTGCAATGAATCTGACAAACGATTACACCAGCATGCTTTTCAATCTCTATCAACTGTAAATCTGAAAGACACTGTTGCACCAGAATTTAACCTATATCTCTGAGAGTTTTATGAGAGTCAAATTTACGTAAGAACATGCTATTCTATCTCTGTCAACTTTACAAATTAAAAAACACAAAGGACAAATCATTTGCAAGATAGCATTTTGACAAGGAACAAAGGATAGTTAATAGTTTGGTGAAAGGCAATCCACCAGTGCAGTCCTTTCCCGTTTCTCCACGATCTTAATTTTTCTAAGCACAACTAATCATGAGAGGAAAAGTGCATCATGTAACAAACATTCTAGTGCCTACCGTGGGTCACAACGAAATGGAAAAGGAACACTCTCACACAGTATTCAAGGAACCACTACATAATGACGTGATATATAGTAATAGTACTCTTTGAATTGACATCACACAAGTAAGTTGAAGATACACCTGCAATGCTGCTTGATAAATTAGTCTCTCATCACATACAGCAGTCCTTTCATCACCTGCCATAGAATGGTATGCATGCTCGTTTGGACTAGCAGAGGGTGCAGGCATATGGGACTTCCCATGCACCCATGACTGAGGTAAGGCCCTAGTTCCATTCTTTTCATACATTATAACATCTTCATCATTATCCTGGCTGTAACGGTCCCGTGTGTAATCCAGGTTGTTGCCAAAACCTGATCCTGAGGGATTGTACATATTTCGATGGGGACCATAGGCCTGGCTGCTACCTGCACCATCAGTTAACCTGTTCATTTTGCTACTTGGCCCAGATCCATCTAGTGACGTGGGAAGGGTCCGCCTCAAAGCTTGTTGTGATGAAAGCTTCTCGTACTCTGCACCAGAAACATTAGCAATCCTAGAGTTTGCAGATCTCATGTGACCTGCACTGCCATTGCCATTATAATCTGGACAGACTACAATCTGGTTTGAAGTTCTTGAGTCGTCCCCATAACTGCTGATCCGAAGTTTATTTAGATTTGATGACCCACTATTAGAAGCATAAGAACTTGACGGAGCATTTGGATTCCTACTGATTGAACCTGCAAGTTCAATCAATCCGCAATTAAGAGTATGTTATGATAAACTAGGAGAAGGATCCAATCTCATTGAAGAAGAAAATGCAATAAATATCAGCACACAGTCTCCATCACCAAGGAAGTTGGTCTAGCATAAAAGAAGAGAGCCATGACTACAGAAGGCAAGAAATTGTCAAGTATACAACAAAAGAAGGGAAGAAAAAAGGGGAAACTCAAGGATAAGTAGATAGCAATAGGCAAGCATGGAAAAATTAGGCAATACCGGCACCACTTGAGTTTGTCGCCCATTGCGGAAGAATTCGGGTATTAGTAGGGCCCTCTATCAGTGATACACCACCGTAATCATCATCCTCATCCAGCTCAAAGTCACTATCAGAACTAATATCTATATGATCCCCCATTTCAGTCAGGTACTGAATATCCCTGGCTTCAACCAGATCACGGCTCCTTACCTCAGCAAAATTAGTAAAAGGTGACAATCCCTGCCAGTCACGAAAAGTCAAAATCTCAAAACACCAAACAAATAAAGTAAAAAACGAACTCTTTAGCATACAGCATGCACAGATGACTCACAGAATGTTTGTTATCTCTTGGTAATATGCTACCGATCCAATGCCCTAGAGTGGAAAAACATCTCCAAGTTGAACTAAGAACCCCATGATCTGACATCTAAAAGGATTGCATCCCCAATTCTTCAACCACTGGTTTTCCAGTAACAAATTCGTAGCCTGGACCCAGAATCATGATGAGGAGTGCCCAAATAAAAGGTCAAGGAGGAAGGGGTGAGAACCAGCTCCACAGCTTAAAGAAAACCGTATGCAATTCAAGCTATGAAAATAGAAAAACAAAAGTACGAAGCAAGTCACTCACTTGAGGACACAAGCAACTAGAGGCATGTCAAAGTCTCAAAGAGGTGATGATGGCAAGGGAAAACTGAACAGTAATCCAACACCAAACCAGAAGACCATTCATCCCAACAGATTTTACCCACGTCGTATAAGTCAAATTTCTTCCGAAAAATAAATCAAAAGAGCTCAGAAATAATGAAATGGGAGAACTGTAAATACTTCATACCCAAACGAGGGAACAGACCAATCAGACAAATGATGAGAAGGCAATAGCCAATGCAATTGAGTGATTGAAGACCTCAAACAAACCGAACGGAGAGACAGAAAGAGGAGACGAAATCAGCCATGCAAAGGACTTCAAAGGAAGAGAGAAGACCCTCGCTTTAAAAAAATGACCAAATTGCCTGCGGTGCGAACCACAAAAAGCCCAATGGCACAGAAGTGAGTGAAAAAAAAAGGCGGGCGCTTCGAAAGATCGAAGCTTTTGATGATGTGATCAGGAGAGAATTAAGCAGAAGAAGCATTGACTGTTAGGCAGAGGGCAGCAGTTCTCACTTGTAAATTCCACAAACAAAATGAAAGGAGGAGATGACGAAGAAATCAGGCCAGTGAATGCGTCTGTGCGTTCGCGGGGTTGAAAGCAGAAAGAGGGGGAAAGCCAAGAGAGAGTACCTAACGAGCGCCATTGGAGTTCCAAACTCTTGCCACTGCTAGACTGGACCGGATAGAAGTTAGGGTTTAAAAAAGAGAACAGAAGCAACACGACTGCATAGAGTCGGAGGGAGCAACTGAAGTCATAGATTCGGGGAGAGAACGAACTCTCCCCCAGCCCCAATCATGGGCGTGATTTGCTTCGTGGATTTTGGTTTTGGGCAATTTGTCATCCAAATCACAATGACGATGAGTTTGTCTCAAAGTCCATTGTTTGGGTTAATTGTAAGGATGTTTAGGGCCCGTTTGGATTAAGGATTTTAATACGAGGGTTTTTGGCCGAAATCTCTCATATAAAAACCTAGGTTTTTTAATTGTAGGATTTGTATCAAATTACTCGTTTGTTTGTGGATGTAGGTTTTTAATTAAAACCCCACATTTAATCCAAATTTCATAATTGCTCTTCTTCTTCCTCACCTAAACTTATCTAGAATTGCAGCCGACACTTCAATTCCTTTTCGAACTTCATCCGTTGCCTCCTCCTCAATCTGCTTCGCCAATCTCCTCCACATTCAGGGACCCAATGCTTTTCTTCCATATACAAACAAGCTTCCATCGCAATAGCCTCCATCTCGGACCAAAATTGAAGCTCTCTTCCGATGGTCAGAACCAGAGTCGGTTTCATCGATCGGTGGCGGGGTTGGCGGTGAGATGAGTCGTCTCCAGCTCGAGTATCGTCGTCGATGTCTTTTCTCCTTTCTCCTCTTCCTAACAACGATTTCCGCTGATGAATGGATAGACGACGGGATCTTTCCTATGCCGCCAGAAGTTCGTTACGCTGCAAATCCCTAACCCAGAACCTCCCGCCGGTGACATCCTGATTTTTCCACTGTCAACTTCCAGCATCTATTACCCTAACCCAGAACCCTGAATCGATGAAAAGGAGAGATGGATGGAGAGCAGCAGGCGGTGGAGACAAGATGGGCTTTGTGGGGATTCGGTGTGCGGGGGTTTGATGAACCGTCGAGGAGAGATCGTCGGGGAGAGACCACGATGGAGGGTTGTCGAGAGACCAGAAGTTGAGAAAGGAGGCTAAGGATGGAGTTTAGAAAAATTAAGAGGGACAAAAATGGAAGAAAAAATATAAGAATGTGGGATTTCAAAATAGATGACCCCCATCAGCTATTTCAAAATCTCTCACTTGTGGGTTTTCAAAATCTCTGATGTTCACAATCTCTCATATTGCCAAACGCAGGATTGTTTTAAAATCCTGCATAATGAGAGATTGTTTTAAAATCCCTCACAAATCACTCACTACAATCATGCATCCAAACGACCCCTTAATGGGTTTACTAAAACCGTTCATGTTTGGTCACTGTAAATATTTAATTTCATTTATCGTCACTAAGATTGGTTCAATATTTCATGTTTGGTCACTCTCCATTAATCTCTGTTAGTTTTTGTTGATGTGGCAGTCAACTATTACAGTTGACCGTTAAATGAGTGACGTGGCCATTAAAAATATTAAAATAATAAAATTTAAATATTTACAATTTCCACCTCATTTTACAACTATTAAAAATAAAAATAAAACTTAATAGATGGCCTCCGCCATCGACTGCTCTCTGATACGCTCAGCTTTGACTGATGCGTCGTGGCCATGACGTGATCGTCTCCACTGCCGCTCTTTCCTCAACGCCCACCTCGCTTTGCTTCATTCTCCACCTGCTTCGAAAATTTTCAATGTAGCGTTTCGGATTCGCTGAGCTTTTCTCCGTTCGATTGTCGCTCTCTCCAGCAGCTGGATTCAGTCGAACCTTTGGAGCCGGAAAAACCAACAGAGAGAGGGAGCTCCTCGTTGCCTCGAAGGATGTGGATAGCGTTATGGCTGAGTCTAGGGCCTGTGTAACCGCGTCGAACCAGATTCACCAGAGGCAGCAGCTGTCGATCTCCGTCGCCGAATTCCAATTGCGGGGGTCAAGTAATATGATTCTTTTTGGGTTCGGGTGTCGATTCCGCTTCCAGTCGGCATTTGATTCGTACTCCGTCGCTTGTGAGGCATTCTCTGAACATCGTCGTAGCTCCGCTTTCAAACTTCTCTAATAGAGGCCATCCCCTCTCCATCTTTCTCCCTTCTTCATCTTGTCTCTCGTTTCTTTGCTATTATATTCGTTTCTCCCCTACCCCCTTTTCGTCTCCTTTTGGGTTGGTCATCTTCTCATGCTTGAATTGAGTATAGGAGATTCTGGTTCCTGTGACGATGGCCTGGTTGTGGAAACAGATACGCCACCGCCGCCGCCGCTGAGGCTAGTAGTGGTAGTGGTCGCCATCTAGGAAGTGAGCGGCGCCGGGGTCGGTCTTGTTCAACTCTTCCTCTGGAATCTTAGGGTTTGTGAGGGGAGGGAATAGAATGTAGAATATCCGGCGGGTGAGTAATAGGAAGGAGGGGGAGAGAAATCGAAGGAGGAGGGATCAGAATCGCGGTGGCGTAGATGGCGGAGGTCATCTATTAAGTTTTATTTTTATTTTTTAGTAGTTATAAAATGAGGTGGAAATTGTAAATATTTAAATTTTATTATTTTAATATATTTTAATGGCCACGTCACTCATTTAACGGTCAACTATAATAGTTGACTGCCACATCAGCAAAAACTAATGGAGACTAACGGAGAGTGACCAAACTTGAACTATTGAACTAATCTTAGTGACCATGAATGGAATTAAATATTTGCAGTGACCAAACATGAACGATTTTAGTAAACCCAGTGACCATCCTTGCAATTAACCCTCCATTGTTTGTATAACTTTTTTGGGTAATTTCTATTTTTATCCAAACCTTTTCCAGATTCTTTTATATTATCAAAACTTATTAAAATGCTATTAATTAGCCAAATCTTTCGTAATGCATCCAAATATTAGTCATTTTTACGTTATCGGTAATAATTTTGTAACTCTTTTCTTAGTTAAAATACTAAAATTTTGGAATGTTGACCTTCATGTATCTCTTCCAAAGTATCATGTTGCCAAGTCAATATTACTAATAAAATTGCGAACTGAAAGTTAACATTTGGCTAATTATTAGTATTTCGATAAATTTGGATAATATAAAAGAATATGAAAAAGGTTTGGACAAAAAATAGTCATTATCCTATTTTATTAGAGGTTAATTGTATTGTTGGTCACTGAGATTACAAAAAACGTTCATGTTTGGTCACTGAAAATATTTAAATCCATTCATGGTCACTAAGATTATTTAAATAGTTCAAGTTTAGTCACTCTCCGACTCTCTGTTACCTTCCGTTAGTCTCCATTAACGACGTTAGTTTTTTGCTGACGTGGCTAACAGAAAAGTCTACTCAACCAATTTTAACCCAAAAAAATGAAAACCCGATCAGCCACATCATTATAACCCGCCATGTCATACCACTCTAACCGAAACCATGATCATGAGCACTGTGTATTTGGGAAGCTACATCGCAGCAAGTTTCCCAAGAAGGGTATCCACCGGACAAAGGGGATACTGGATTACCTCCACTCCGACTGTTGGGGTCCTTCACGAGTTGAATCCATTGGAAGCAGCAGGTATTTTCTGTCTATTATTGATGATTATTCGAGATTTACTTGGATTTTCATGATGAAGCAGAAAAGTGAGGCTTTCACGAAGTTCAAGCAGTGGAAGACATTGGTGGAAAATCAGACCGGGAAGAAGATCAAGAAGTTGCGAACGGGCAATGGTTTGGAGTTCTGCAGTTCTGAGTTCAACGAATTCTGCAAGGATGAAGGGATTGCCCGTCATCGGACTGTTAGAGATACACCTCAGCAGAATGGCGCTGCAGAAAGGATGAACCAGACATTGTTGGAGAGAGCACGGTGCATGCTCTCTAATGCTGGACTAGAGAGAAGATTCTGGGCAGAAGCAGTAAACATGGCGTGCTTCCTGATCAATCGTGGACCTCCTTATGAGGTGTGGTATGGTAAGCCTGCTGATTACTCTTCAATGAAAGTTTTTGGGTGTCCTGTTTATTATCATGTGGATGAGGGTAAACTGAACCCAAGGGCAAAGAAGGGTGTATTTGTGGGTTACGGAGATGGAGTTAAGGGATTTCGAGTCTGGCCACCTTCTGAGCATCGAGTTATACTTAGTAGAAATGTGATATTTGATGAGAAGTCTATGTTTAACCCCATGTTGAAGGTTACTGTTGCTGAAGGTAGCAGGAATGTTGATAAGCAGGTGGAGCTGCAAACTCTCAAAGAGAGTGAGTTTGAGCACCAAGGTGGAGAAGATCAACATGATGAGGATGTCTCTGCAGAGCCAGAAACTTCAGAGTCCAGTGCACGAGCTCAACAGTCTATTGCTTCCGGTAGACCGAAGAGAGCGACTGCAGGAGTACCTCCAAAGAGGTATGGCTTCGAGGACATGGTGGCGTATTCATTTCAGGTTGCTGAAGAAGTGGATGCAGGAGAGCCACAGTCCTATAAAGAAGCAGTTTCGGGTGGTGAAGCTGATCAGTGGCTTGCCACAATGGGAGATGAGATGGAATCCCATGACAGGAATCAGACTTGGGAGCTAGTCAAACGACCACAGGAAAGGAAGATTATTACAAACAAGTGGATCTACAAGAAGAAGGAAGGAATCACTTCCAAAGAGGGCATGAAATTTAAAGCTCGGGTGGTTGCACGAGGCTTCTCGCAGAGGGAAGGAGTTGACTACAATGAGATTTTCTCACCAGTGGTCAGACATACTTCGATCAGAGTGCTACTAGCAATAGTGGCACATTATGACTTGGAGTTCGAGCAGCTAGACGTGAAGACAGCTTTCCTGCATGGAGAGTTGGAAGAAGAAATTTACATGACTCAGCCAGAAGGATTCGAGGTTCCGGGAAAAGAAGACTATGTTTGTAAGCTGAAGAAGTCCTTGTATGGACTTAAGCAATCTCCGAGGCAGTGGTACAAGAGATTTGACAGTTACATGCTTGAGCTGGGCTACAACAGAAGTCCATATGATTGTTGTGTATATCACAGCAAGGCAGAGGATGGTTCGATGATATATCTAGTTCTGTATGTGGATGATATGCTCATAGCTGCGAGGTCAAAGTCTGATATCCAGAAGTTAAAGGGACTTCTCAGTGCTGAGTTTGAGATGAAGGATTTGGGAGCTGCTCAGAAGATCTTGGGTATGGAGATTTACAGGGACAGGTCGAAGAAGAAGCTTTTCTTGTCACAGAAGAGCTACATCCAGAAGATACTGTCGAGGTTTGGCATGTCTTCAGCAAAGCCCTTAAATACTCCTAGTGCTTCAAATGTTCATCTATCCTCAGCTTATGCACCGCAGTCAGAGGCTGAGAAGGAGTACATGTCGAGAGTCCCATATGCTAGTGCAGTAGGTAGCTTGATGTACGCTATGGTATGCACTAGACCTGATCTTGCACATGCTGTTAGTGTTGTCAGCAGGTTTTTGATACAACATGGGAAGGAGCATTGGCAGGCTGTGAAGAGGATCTTCCGGTACCTTAAGGGTACACCTGATGTGGGGATTAGCTTCGGAAGTGATACAGAGTGCTTGGTGTCTGGGTATTCTGACTCGGACTATGCTGGAGATGTTGACACGAGGAGATCGATGACCGATTATGTATTCACTCTTGGGAGTTCTGTAGTGAGCTGGAAGGCAACTTTGCAGTCGGTAGTGACATTGTCTACTACTGAGGCAGAGTATATGGCGTTGACAGAAGCTGCTAAGGAGGGAATATGGTTGAAGGGACTGGTTGGTGATCTGGGTCTACATCATGATCAGGCAGTGGTGTATTGCGACAGTTTGAGTGCAATATGCTTGGCCAAGGATCAAGTCCACCATGAGAGGACTAAGCACATCGATGTGAGGTATCATTTCTTGAGAACAGAGAAGAGGATTAAGGTGAAGAAGGTTGGCACCGCGGATAATCCTGCTGATATGTTCACGAAGCCGGTTCCACATGGCAAGTTCCAACACTGCTTGGACTTGCTGAATGTCTTGAGTGGGTGACTCCGCCCTACGGGGCATTGATGGCGGGAGAGAGAGAAGGAGCAGACTACATCAGAGATTTCAGAGGAAGAGGATTCAAGTCAAGGTGGAGATTTGTTGATATGACTTGAATCGGACTATCAGCCGCTACGACTGGTAACCGGGGGTCTCGCTGGATGTTATTTGCGTTCGGGTTCTGGGCCTGGTCTGTAACCGTTTCCTTTACTAGATTGGATTAGGTTCAGACCCACATGGAGAAGTACTATAAATACTTCTCATACTCCTCTGTAATCTGTAATCTCCTTGATATAGTGAAATCGGCTCTCTCTCCCGTGGACGTAGCTAACACACATCGTGTTAGTGAACCACGTAAATCGTGTGTCGTGTTTTCGATTCTCGCTTTCGTATTCTTGCTTTGTCGATCCCGGCGATTTCCCGATCCGTAGCAGCGCGTTTATAACATCCTCCTTTGAGGAATCTCCCCACAGAGTCTGTTAGCCCTGAAGTTCGCATGCCTCAGGTTCTTAACCGCCAGCAAGCTGCTCGGGATTTTGCCGGTCAACAAGTTGACAGAAACATCAATCCACTGAAGATCGACGAGCTTCCCCTGTTAGTAAACGGTATATGATTAACGATTGAATCTCTCCCGACAACTCGAGTTATTGGGACCAACTGGTTCTTGACATGGTATCAGAGTCTTCTGTGACCGAGAGGTCTTGTGTTCGATTCCCGGTGATCCCCATTTGTTTTTGTTAAGCACACGGTGTCCGGACCTGTGCCTGTCCAAATTCCAAGCCTATTTGAATGGCTTGAGTTTGAAGGGGGTGTTAGTAAATGATATATAATTCACGATTGAACCTCTCCCAACAACTCGAGTTATTGGGACCAACTGGTTTTTGACATCCCCAAGCTCGCCGGAAACGACCCAGATACTCTGTTCCTAGGTATATCCAGTCTCTTCAGTCGGGTCAGGCCAGTGACAAAGTCAGGCATGGCCCCTGATATCATATTCATCGACACGTCCAAAACTTCCAGAAAGCTTATTCTTCTGCTGCTACTGCTGCTGCTGCTGTTGTTGAGTATCGCAGAGAGTGAGCCTGTGATGCGGTTAGACCAGAGTTGAACCGAAGAGATCCCCGGCGGCAATCTCATCTCCTTGAGGTCGAATGCGAGCTGGTTGTTGGAGAGATCGATGCTTTACAAGCTGGAGGCATTCGTCATAAGGCCTGAAATGCCGAATTCAAATGAGTTATGGGAGAGATCAAGAGAAACGAGAGTTCGGTCGACTAAACACCGGAAGCCTTCCCTTCAGTCCGCAACCAGCTAGTCGGACGTCGGAGAGCTGGCCGTCCTTAATCCAATTCAGCAGCATCGTCCCTAAACTGAGGTTGTTGAAGGACAAATCTATCGACAACAACGATGGCAGCCCTGTGATGACCGCAATTGGCCGGAGAAGCCGTTGCTGGACAGATTAACGTATCAGAGCTTCTGCAGAGCTGAAAGGGAAGGCGGGATTCCTCCGGCGTTCGTCATAAGGCCTGAAATGCCGAATTCAAATGAGTTATGGGAGAGATCAAGAGAAACGAGAGTTCGGTCGACTGAACACCGGAAGCCTTCCCTTCAGTCCGTAACCAGCTAGTCGGACGTCGGAGAGCTGGCCGTCCTTAATCCAATTCGGCAGCATCGTCCCTAAACTGAGGTTGCTGAAGGACAAATCTATCGACAACAACGATGGCAGCCCTGTGATGACCGCAATTGGCCGAAGAAGCCGTTGCTGGACAGATTAACGTATCAGAGCTTCTGCAGAGCTGAAAGGGAAGGCGGGATTCCTCTGGAAAGCCGATTGGAGCTCAGGGAGAGATGAGTGAGAGATTTAAGTCCGGTGAACCTGTCAGGGAGCTCCCCGGAGAGCTGGTTATGGTCTAGTGAGATGTCTCGGAGACTCTGTAAGGTGAACAGAGACGGCGGGAGCCAGCTTGAGAAACGATATACGAGAGGTCGAGAAAGGTGATGTTTGGGAAGGTGGTAGGGATTCGGCCGGATGATCTAGCGGTGGAGATGGTTCCCGAGAGGGAATTTTGAGATAAGCTGAGGAGCTGGAGGCTAGGGAGAGTCCACAATGAAGGAGGAATAGAGCTGTTGAGGCGGTTTCTAGCTAGGGAGACGGAGGCGAGACAGCGGAAGCTGCCTATGCTCGGCAGGATGAGGCCTGCGATGGAAAAATCCTCGATGATCAGCTGATTGAGCCTGGTCAGGTTGGAGATGGTGCCAGGAATGTTCCACGCGATGTGCTTCGTCCTGGTGATGACCAGATTCTCCAGCGATGTCAGGCTGCCGAGTGAAGGCGAGAGTGTCCCCTTCATGTAGCCTTCTGGCGGTACCTGGAGGAGTAAGGACGTGACCCTTATGGCTTCGGCCGGGTCGCACACCACGCCTTCCCAATCGGTGCAGTGGTTGGTGGTGGGTAGCCAGGTGGAAAGGATCCCCGTTGTGTCTACGGAGATTCCGGATTTGAACTCAAGGAGAGCTCGCCCGTCGCCTGACGACGACGCGACAACTGCATTGGCATTGTTGAGGAGGAGGTGGTGGTGTAGCAGGAGCATGAAGTTGGTGGTCAGGATGCCGCGGCAGCAGCCACGTGGCTGCATGATCTTGCAGGCTGCAATCTGAGCAGAGACTGTGAGCGTACAGAAAAGGAGTGTATCAGTTGAGTTATAAAACGGAGGTTGCTTCAGGAAGGTATGATGATGGTGGAATGAGAGAGAAAGAAGAAAGATTTGTACCTTTTTCTGGTTTTCTTTTTGAGGTGGATGTCGACGGACAGAAGGAAGGGTTTTTATTAATGGTTTTTAGTGAGATATGTCTATTTAGACTATGAATTAAATTATTTTTGGGCTTTAAATTCTAATGAATAAATTTCTGACTACGATTCTCTAAATACAAACTTGAAGTTCAATTTAATAGAAAACAATAATTGACAGTTCAAATTGGTCGAAACTCATCTAAATACATTTACTGGTAAGATCACTCGAAGTATACTATACTCCTCGAGTGTTGATGAATGGATGATGGGTATTGGCGATTGAGTTTGTATTTGATAAAAAAGATAATTAAGATTTGGAGAAGAACTAATAGAATTATGCATTGGAGAGGAAAATTGGGATAATCTGACGACACTTTGATAATTTGTTTATTAATTGAATTTGAAAAAATAGGTAAACGATAATATATAGACGCTAACCTGAAACCCTAATCGACTCAAACCTAATAAAGTACTAAACTACCCTTAACTAATGGGCGTGCCTCCATCAAGTATACTCGTCTTTACCTCCTAAACAAACAAAAAATGGTAACATAACCGCACTACATACATCATGTTCAATTGACGGACAAGCAACATAGAACAACATTACGCTATGATGCATACAACTCATCGAGGAACCAATACAAGCAGATCACAACTTCATTTCAAAATCATTCGTTATAGATGGACAATAATGTCAATTTTTAGCCAGATTTTGGATGGGAGATTTAAGGACCAATTTGAATTTGTATGTAGCAATCTTTGCCATTGTTGATTTTCAGGGATGGAGCAGCAAAAAATAGGAAGGACACTACATGTAGGAAAAGGAAAAGACGCCAAGATACTCAATTGTCTATAAGGTTGCAGTGGACCGTCACCTTGCTGTGGGCTGTCATCCCATAGTTGCGTGCCAATTTGTTCAGTCAAGGCGGCGCCATGTTTCGCCTGTCCCCGAATCGGCTAAGGTCCTCCCAACGCAGGATGAAGGCCACGCTCCAGCAACAGGTGAGATGGATTCTTGGGTTTGCTAGTGGAATGTGGGGACGAGTCGGTGGGATCCGCTGCCAGTCGGTGGGATTCGCTATCCGCGGGCAGTTGACTCTTGAAGTCGTCTGTCCTCCTCCGAAGCCGAAACCGAGCCGCAAGCTGTCCTGGCGCAATTGTAACTGGAAAATTTGACCTGAAATTTAACCTAATTTGGAATTCGAAATTTGGAACTGAAAGTTTGTTTGCAACCCTAATTCTCCTCTTTCATCCAACGATTGCCCCTCTCATTTCATTCTGTCTATAATAAGACGAAGGCTCATACTCTCTCTAAAACCAGCGACTCTGAGGAGTGACGGAGGACGCGAGTAAAAATTCGACGCTTCGATTGGTTACCTTTTTCGGTCCTCTCAATTCCGAAGCAAAGCATTATCTTCTTCTCCCCGTTCCGCTTCTCGGCCTCCTATGATGAAGAAGTCCTCTCCGATTAGGCATCTAATCTCCAGCAAAGTATTCTCTATTTCTTTCGTTCTTTAACGATTCAATTTCCCTTTCGACTGAATCAGAATTAATGTCCCCCGCTGTTGTCGATTTTGTTAGATGAAAGACCAGTATGCGAGAAGGGGACAAATTGTCAAAATAGATGGCCACCGCTCAGGCTGGTAAGCCTTCGTCCTCTGTTAATTTCGTCCTTAGATTTTGGTGGTTGTTTATTGCCGATTCCAGACATTTTGGAGTCGTTGTGTGCTGGCTGTTGTTCAGTTATTCTGCTGAACGGCAGAGCAGAGCAGACCCCCCTAGAGGTAATGGAATTTTATGGTTGAGACTAGCTTGAGCTTCTTAGAAATCTGTAGGGGTTCCACCAGCTTCTTGTGAATATATATCGACTAGCTTTGTAATGTTTGAGAATGTAATGCCCTGACAAAGATTGTTATTTTTTCGGACTTTTTGCAGGTGGTGTGGAATGTTTGAGAATGTATGAATGAGTTTCAGCATTTTGATTGTTTGTGAATAACCGTTGGGGTTTGTACTGAGGTGTTTTAGCTCATTTACTGATGAATTTTCTAATCTGTTTGTTTATTGGAAAGTTTGAGTTTTACATAAGAGTTGCTACTGTAGTTATACAGAAGAGAGAGCAACGGATAACATAAACATATGGTCGTAGCTGTTTGCAGCACATGGAGTCTGAACACCATGGGTAGCTTTGAATAGCATATGTTGTCTTGTGAATATATATCGACTAGCTTTGTAATGTTTGAGAATGTAATGCCCTGACAAAGATTGTTATTTTTTCGGACTTTTTGCAGGTGGTGTGGAATGTTTGAGAATGTATGAATGAGTTTCAACATTTTGATTGTTTGTGAATAACCGTTGGGGTTTGTACTGAGGTGTTTTAGCTCATTTACTGATGAATTTTCTAATCTGTTTGTTTATTGGAAAGTTTGAGTTTTACATAAGAGTTGCTACTGTAGTTATACAGAAGAGAGAGCAACGGATAACATAAACATATGGTCGTAGCTGTTTGCAGCACATGGAGTCTGAACACCATGGGTAGCTTTGAATAGCATATGTTGTCTTGAATGAAGGATGGTGCTGCTGTTTCAGCTCTCTGGAATGCATATAATGAAATTCAACATTTACCCCTCCTACATGGATAAGTAATGTTGCTGAATTGTTGAGTAGAATGTTATGATTTGTTGTGTAGGTGATGAAATTGTATCCATGATGGTTGGCCAATGTTACACTGAGTGGTCATGTCCACCATGGATGCATTGCATCGCTCAATCCAATTTGTTGTTGTTGCTTTCGTTTGTAGCTACTGAACATCCAGTCCTATCCGATTGATTGTTTGTTATGATGTCTACCTGTTGAGTATATTGCATTTTCTCCCCCTCCCCCCCACCACAACTGTTTTGACAAAAAATTTGCCAGCTTCAATTGCAGGTGGCACGCGCATGCACTTATATTGGTTGCTCTCGTTGGTTGTGCTGTTGTCGAAGCATCTTAATGTAATGCTATCGTAACTGCGATAGCAAAATGTGCACTTGATAGTGGGGCTGAAACGATAATAACTATAGTCTATTTCTACTGGTATATTGTGGTGGTAGCCCTAACGACATTGGCTTGCCAATCATTGGATGCAGTTTAGGGGGTCGTTTGGTATATGCGTATTTAATGAATGCATGTATTGTAGAGAATGCATCATTTTTTTGTTGCAAAATAAAACACAATGCATGTATTTGATTGTTGATGTGACCTTTGAAATCTTTCAAAATGAATGATTTAGAATCTCAACTATTTGGTGAGATTGTTGAGATTATGAATCAACTTTTCTTCTCTTTTATGCCCTCATCAACTTTTATATGTGATTGACTTTTATATCTAAAAGAAAGGGTAAATGTGACTTTTCATTCAAAAGTGGTTTTTCTACTACATTCCTAAAATTACAATCACAACTACCAAACATTGTAATCTTAAAATGCAAGCATTTAACCAATACATCAATTTATAATGCATGCATTCGTACAATACATCAATTTTAACAATCACAAATACCAAACGAGCTCTAAGTTGTTTATCTTCGTATAATTTCTCTGTATTGTAGGATGTTTTATGAGAGTCAACCCCAAATGGGAATATGGTTTTAATTTGTCTGTATTGTATTCTTGATATGCTTTCTTATTTGCCGGCCTACTTTTTAATAATGTAAAAAGTTTTCAATGCCCTTAATGAATATCATATTCTTAATACGTGACAACCATGTTCTAGCCCGTCCCCACTCTCGCCTTTGATTGACCCACATTACTGCTAAACGAAAATTGATCGATATTCTAACCGGATTCGTAACTGACACACGTTACACCAGATTCAACCGGTCGACATTTCACTTACGTGACAATCATGTTCTGCACAGAAACAACCAACCAACACCAAGCCCATATTCGGCGGGAGAGATTCATATTCACACAATTAGAGCATCACAACCCTACTATTTGTGACAAAGCGAGTCACGAATCATCCACGAAAAAACATGTGTACGATGGTTTGGCAATGTCCCTCATGCAAAACCGCACCGACGGTCTGACAAGAAATAATATAATCTGAAATTGCTAGTTAAGTTCCCTTAGATACTACCCTAAAATCTCCTCAGCTAAACATGGCCCAAATAGTCACTTCAACAACGGGGAAGAAAGTCCGGAATGAACTGACAATTGATTGAAACAAACTGATACAAAAAGGAACAAACATTCAGCAACAAGGGAGGAGACACAAATGAGGTACATATCTGGGAATAACCAACTGATAAATGATTGACATCTAATTCTTCAACTGCAGACCCTTTTAAAGCCCTAAATGTACCTCTCATAATCAGTAGGCTAGAAGTGGATGACAAATTTCCACTCCCAAGCAAATAAAAGGTGATACCTGTACTGCTAAACATGTAACCGACCGACAGACTGAGCTTGGGCGCTACGCTTTTCCACATGATGAAGGCCCTCTTCTCAGTTCTCACAGTCGACATTATAATACTCCATGAAATTTTACAAGTATGCATGCAGCAATTGGTCCTGGACCGATCATAAGAAGTATGGAACTCCTGTCCTTGGCCCTCTCATCTGATTATTCTCCTCCGTTTCAGTGAAAAACTTCACTTCTCTCTCCTACAAAGACCAAGAAACAAATAAAATACCTTGGCTAGTTCTAGGACCGAGTAAAGGTTTCTATTTAGATCCAAAGAATAAAACAACCAGAAGCAGGATTCAAAAGTTCACTCACCATATTATCATTGAAGCTCAAGATGGAAGCCACATTCCCGCATCGGTAACAATAGTTTGGCGCAGACCACACCTGCAAAATAGT